ACGCCGCCGTGCTCGACGCCGCCGTGCTCGACGCCGCCGTGCTCGACGCCGCCATGCTCGACGCCGTGCTCGCCGCCGTGCTTGACGCCGTGCTTACTCGTCGCCATTCTTATCACCGTGCTAATGCTCTGCTTGTCCTCCTCTGTTGCAGAGCACGGCCGCCATGCTGATGCCGGGCGCGCTGGGCGGGCCTGACGGCGTGTCGGCGCTGCTGGGCGGCGCCGAGGGCTTGGGCGCCGGCCTGGGCGCGGCCGGCCTCCCCGGCGTGACGCTGGCGGGCGGCCAGGGCGGCCAGCAGGGCGCGGGCGTCCAGCAGAAGGACACCACCTGGACCAAGCTGTTCGTCGGCGGCCTCCCCTACCACACGACGGACAAGTCCCTCCGCGACCACTTCGCCGTCTACGGCGACATCGAAGAGGCCGTCGTCATCACCGACAGACAGACCGGGAAAAGCCGCGGCTACGGATTTGTAAGTACCTCGCATGTTGTTTTACTTTGAATCATTTCAGCATCGTGTGTTGTTTTTTTGTGTTTTTTTTTCTAAAGTTACTTGTTACTGGGTTGATGGGGTGGGGTGGGGGCCCTGACTAGACCGCCACACCAGATGTCGATAACTTTAAGGAGGAATTCTTTCTAGAAGAAGAGAGCGGTCGGACGGCCCTGTGCCGGCGAGCGCACTGCTCGCAGCAGACCCGACCCGATCCGCTGTCAGTTGTCAGCAGTCCGAGCTGGTCCCCACCGTTGAGTGACAGTACAGTGTAGGCCCGACCCGCAGGCGCAGTGAATGGCGCCCGCGGCCTCCCAACTTGCCGCGCCCAACCGCGCCCAACCGCGCCCCGCCACGCCGTGCCACGCCACGCCACGCCCCGCCACGCCACGCCACGCCCCGCCCGGGCCACCACCGGGCCACAACTTTCGTGGCCGGACCGACCCCCCACTAACACTGTATTATATCTCGAAGCTGCTTCACCATTATGTCATGCTCCACTGAAATTCAAAAGATGAGACCCCGTCCCCTCCCTCTCTCCTCTCCTCTCTCTCTCGACTCTTTAGCGCCGCACCCACCCCTCGATTGGCGCCTTTGCTTTTTGTGGGAAAGTCTGTTGCTGCTCGAACCACCGCCGATAAAAAGGGAAAAGTGTGTAAACAAGGCGGATCTCTCGCCCCTTAGTCAGGCCAGCCCCGTTCGGTCCGTGCCGAACTTTTGGCACAAGTGCTGCGAGGGTGAATTTGCAATCAGTCGCGGCTGCTGATGCCTCGTGGCCCCGGGGCCCGGATGCTCGACCCAAAAAGATGAAAACCATGCTCAAAACAGAAGTAGGGGAGACTAACAGTAGCTAAAAGGTAGTAATGAGGTAAGGGTTAAAACACAGTTATTTTCTTACGAATTTCTTAAAGTATCAAACTTGTTTGTGAAAACGTTTAGAACAAAATTTCAGCAAATCTTCAGTCAATGTTTTTTTAGAGTGTGCTTTAAATCTGAAGTGTTGCATCAACAAAAAAATCTCTCTGTCGTGTTTCAGGTCATCATGGGCGATAGACCGGCTGCCGAGCGCGCGTGCAAGGACCCCAACCCCATCATCGACGGCAGGAAAGCCAACGTAAACCTCGCCATCCTCGGCGCAAAGCCCAGAGGCAACGTGACACCTGGTGAGTCCCTCTCTTCTCTGCCATTCCACCTGGTCCGTATTGTAGTATTGCAAGTTTTGCGAACGACTTTGCTGGCGGACGAAGCCGCTGCTTGTGCAGGTGGTCCCCACAGTATGGTCGCTGTTTAGTGCGCGATAGGTACCATACACCCCGAGCCTGGCGCCGGACTGATATGCTCGCCGAGGTGCTGCATTGTGCCCCCAGCAGCAAACAAACAACCCTGCCAAATGCAAATGGACAACCCGAAATTTTTCGGTGTAACGACAGATTTTTCTTTATCAATTCAGTTGTCCCCCCCCCCACCCATTACAATCTTATATTGTACCGTTTAAAATTTACATATCCATGCTTATCGTATGTTGAAGTAAGGAATATATGTCAGAACATTCTCCACTACGCTTACGCTGCTCTACTCCCGTTTACAATATTGCGCTGTTGTGGTCTCGAGGAGGAAGAAAGGGGTGATGCGGGGCGCTCCGGCACAGCTTCCCGGGGCTCAGGGCATAGCAGGGCGGCCGAGG